TTAATATATATATATATATATATCTCTATAAATTAAGAGGATTTTGATGTTGGTCCATGTAAATCAATATTTTTAGTTTTTACTATTTTGTGAAACTTTTTAAGTACTTGTATTTTTAACAATAGATCAAATAATCATCTTATGTGACACTTACTATTATTGTATGCAGAACTTTACCAACACGTGAGATCTATACTTTTTTTTTCTTCAAAATATCAAAAATTAATAAATATTAAATATCTATCTTAAAATGAACATTAGAGGTCAAAATTAGTGATTTTAAATTTTGAAAATATGAAAAATCAAACAAAAACATTTTATAAGAACCAAAATAATTTTTTTTTTTAATTTTACATAGAATAAAAATGATAATTTTAAATTTTAGGGAGTTAAAAAATAAGAAAAAAACTGTATGATCAAAATTTTAGAGAGATGTGGTCATTATAGTCACAAAATAAGGAGTTTCCTAGAGTTGTTCTACCATCACTTGTAGCCAACTAGGATAAAGGTGGTTCAATTCATGTGCAAAATAGTGGTTAATATACAAACTCTAATATATTCTCAAGTTTGGCTAATGTCAATATATCATGCTAATCAAGATCTTTACGTGCAATGAATGGCTTTTGTTGTAACGTAGGGAAAACACCAAAGCAAATCCAAGTAGTGTGATAATGGAAAAAATAAAGATCATAATGTGACAAGGGCGGCATATCAATCAAGGTAAATAAAAAATATGAAGTAATCAATTAAATGCATTAATTTTCAATAATGAGGAAATTATATATCGAAAGGAGGAACAAATAATACTTTTAAAATAAAAGGTGGGTCTAGTGATTTCCAAGATCATAAAAAGGTACCAAAGCGAAAGAGAAAATCTCGAAAATAGCCAAAAATGAAAAATAAGGGAGAAGAAATTATTCAACATTTCTAGGAAATTATTCAACATTTCTAGGTAATTCTTTCTTCATCCTTCTCTTCTTTGCATATCTAGGTAATTTTTTTTCCTCTTTTACTTTTTTTTTTGCATATTCAATTGCATTGACTAAATGTTGGTAGTATGATGGTTTGAAAGTAAACATGGTGAAAGTGGCAAACATGGTGGTAGACGTGGCAAACATGATAGTAACAAAGATCGTGGTAGAAGACAATGTGAAGATGATGTTGTGGAAACAAATGTAGTGGTGAAAGTGGTAGTAGTGAAACATAAAGAGATGTGAGAGAAAAACAAAAGCATGGTGGCAGAACATGAAGAGATGAAACAATGAGAGCAAAAAAGCACAACATTGAATGCAAAGTGTTAAGTCAAAAGACGGTCTTGGATCTCTTGAACTTAAAATTTTAATGCTAACAAACAAAAAAAAAATTATAAGAGAAAATGTCATCAAAAACGTCTTCAAAAAATATTTTTGAAAAACAGTTATTAGATGAAGTATAAGACGTAAATCGTCTATAAGACGTTGTAAATCAAACGAAAGATATAATTTATCTCATATACATTAAATATTTATTATTTATTGAGACTAACAACAAAAATTTCTTGAATACTTCATTCCTTAATAGATCAAACTAGAAAATTATCTTGGAACTAACAAATCTGTTAGAAAACAAGATGATACTTTTCCTTAAGACTAAGGATAAAGATCCCTAAAATCACAAAGAAAAATAGATAAAGTCACCGTTGCTACTGCACTACATTAACATTACTCCTACAAGCTCCCTTTAGTATGAAAAGATGATAACTAGCCTCCTTGATCAAATAAGAGGTACCATTTGGTTAAGTGTATTTAATGCTTACATTAAATGAGTTGAACAGTTACCTATCATCACAAAGAAAAATAATGAAGATAAATGAAACAAACTTGTGAGCTGGAATCAAAGTGTTACAAAGTCAATGCATACTTAGGATTGATTCAAAAGTGAGTTGTTGAAAGAATACTTGTATATTTGTTTATAGATAGTGGAACTCAATATAAAAATAACTAATGTTCCATTTGACTACTCTTTACGCTTTATTTGACTAGAATTACTACTTCATTATGAAAAACATGCAAACTTTTAATACATACTATTCAACTCCTATTTTAGCGTTTATCTTTTCTCCACATAAAAAGAGAAAAAAAATGTGATAGAGAAACAATTGTTAATGTAAAAAAATAATA